ATATAACGTAAAAAGACATTCAAGTACGCTTTTTCTGGACAGGAAACTTTTGCCAAAATTAGCCAAAAAGTATAAAATTGTCTACTTCTTCCGTCTGGAGCAAATTAGTACAACCGCAAGGATTATTTCTCAAAATCCCCTCAATTGGGTTTGGTAATCCCCTGGCAAGGAAATGATAATCCTTCTCGGTGTTAAAATTTATGCACAGGAAAAAATTCCTTGCTCCCCAATAATTCAATCATATGTTTCATTAAAACAGAGATCAACTGCAACTTTAAGTAATAAATTAAGCGTCATCAATTTGCTAGTCTTTAAAGTCGGTCACCATCATATAGCTGATATTCCCCGATGTTAAACTAATGTGAATATGTTAGATGAGGGGAAGATTTAGGGAAATGTAACGGAATGTAGAAATTCTGCCTCAGAAACTGACTTTTTATTCAAATGCTATCCATTTATTCAAGCTTTTAAATATGCCAAAATATGAAGATTAGGAGACAAGAAGAGGTGTTAGGTGAATTTCAGATCTCATAGAATTACACACTACTTTTAAATATCTTCAAACCCTCTCCTTGATCTGTTTAGCTAGACTGATCGTAATATACTGGCGGGAAATTTAAATGAATCAACTGATTTAAAGCAAGAGGCAAATTTGTTTTTGCAAATGCGCACATATCCAGCACTATTCAATGTCTGGAATGGCCAAAATGCCTGAGCTAAGGAAACTTAATAACCTTTAAATCTCAAGTACTTGGAATAGTATCATCATTCGGAATACATTCCTTTTAGGTATTCCTCCAAAATTGTAGAAGACAATTAGTATACAAACATGTTTTTGTTAACGGTGAGAGCTGTTTACTCTTCTCGCATTCTTAAATCGAATTAATTTATTATTTTTTATTATTAAATACATTAAATTTTTAGACCGAGAATTACCAGTCGGGTATTTCTCTCCTATTTGATTTGATGTCTTTTCAATACTGGCGATCCTTAATAACATTAAAGTACAATAAGTAATCAATAGTTAGACATTTATTGGAGACAACCTTAGTTCAGAACGGAATACAAACCGTCTAGAGGTTGAAAATCTGCTCTACCTGAAAATTAGTGCCAACCTTTAATACATTTTGTTTACAGTGTCGACAATCTTATTTTTACCCAAATTGCCATATTTCCATATAACGGCTCAAATAATTTTTAACTTTTTCCTAACTTATCTATTTTCGCACCATTGAAGGATTCATGACAATTTTTTTCTTATTTAGAGAACGAAAGATTCTTCCACTCCTTTGACCATTTCGGCTTACCAATTTAACCCAGGTTATAAATAATTTTCAATCAGATTAGAGCGGCATTTTGCAACAAATATTTGTGGTGATATAAAAAATACTCATCTTATTATCTGATTAAGCTTGACGCATTTATCTCTCAGACTCAACTTTAAAAATAACTTAAATCCATAAATTTTTTGAATGCCTTTCTTTTGTTACTTTACCATGAAGTTACAAGGCTGTAAATCCTTTTCCTCAATGGCTTTGAAATGAACAGTTAAATCAGTATTCACATTACCGTCATGACCTTAACGAAATCACACCATTGGTTGAATGATGTGCATAAGGATACAATTGGTACCACGTATAGGGCTTGCTGTCTACGTATGGCACATGACTATTTTTATCGGGTGATCCAAGAGGATTTCCAGTTGAAAAACATTGACTCTAGTCTCCGCGGAAAGTCGTAATTGGTGTTTAAAACGCCTTTACTACTTGTAAGAACATGAGGTAATGCTATATGTCAGTAAGCCAGTATCATCTTAGTTTCATTGTCTTTGAAAGAAAAAAACAACATATAATGATAAAACTAACTGTCTTGATTGATCAGTTAATTAAGTGAAAAGAATAGGAAATCGAGAACACGAAGTTGTTTAGTAATTATTAATCTTTTACCAAAATCAGATTTCCCCTGTGTTCAAGAGAGAATTATTGTTGTGGTTTTATTGAAATAATGTATTGATAATATAATGATAGATTACGAATGCCTGAGAACACAGTGCACATCCAACAATAAAATTGCCAATCCTATTGGTTAATGGAAAATTAGTTGAATTTGCGTTGCCCAAGAAGGAGAATTTCGTGATGCTTTTTCAATGCTCGTGTTGAGTGCACGTAAACTCTTTACATTGAGCATGAAAATTTACCCAATCAACTCTTAAATACCACTTGAGAATACCAATTTCTCTACCACCACCACCACTAAAATCAGCATTACTTGAAAAAATATTTCAATAGTCGTTAGAAACCTCCATTGTTATTTCCATCCATGTCTCCATTCAGTTAAATAAGTTGAAATTGTGAGTCAGTTAATTGAAATCACCCCCAATTCCAACATCGGTTTTAGGAAAACATTGAGCTGCCTTCGCTGTCAAACGGTTTGTTGCATACACAGACGCAATAATTCAGGGTCCATAAATGCCAGTATAGTTTAGTTCGTAAGGATCACTCGATAGGTTCGGTTTATGTTGTCATATATATATATATATATATATATATATATATATATGTGTGTGTGTGTGTGTGTGTGTGTGTGTGTGTAGACTTATTGATATTGACGTGCCATTTTTTCACGTGCTGAAACAAAGGCAAAACCTTTATTATAGTAGAAGTCCCAGAAGCACGGTATTTGTGGGGCTTAATTCAGGAGCCTATTTCTTACTTAATACCATGAGCTATTTCAGTATTACAAAAATTACAATTTTCATATGTATGAAAAGTTTGAAATCGGTATGCATAAAGTCAAACAGATAGTAACTTGACTGAGGAAAAATGGCGTTGATAATAAAGAATTCAGCATTATTCGATTTTCGGATTTCATATTTTAATCCAGTTTCTCTAATTTTCGTTATTTTTTTATGGATTGAGAGGGGATATTTCCTTGTTCTGGGTGAATAGATTCAAAAGACCACAGTCTTGTCAGACAGTTTTCTTCTACTTATTTTTCTCATTCAAAGGTCCTAGGCCAACTGATTTTATATCGTTACCCAAGCAAAATGCTATTAGTCCTAGTTTCTGTTTTTTATCATAATTTCTGACTTACAAAGTCCTTTTAGGGTCCACGGAATGCCTGGATTTTACTTTAAAGTCAAACTTTCTCCTATAAAATCAAGTTTATGGGCAGAGATGCAAGCATATTGCAACGAATAGTTGTACTTTATTAGTGTTTTAAATCATGCAGAGGCAAGCGCTATATGTTAAATGCAAATAGCGAGTTTTGTTTTCAAGAGAAGATTCTGCTTACGCTACCTTCGTATGGTCTCTTCGATATCCAAAGCAGACACTTTATTTATATCAAATGGCAGGCGTTCTGATAGTCATCATTAGCCCTTTAGTTGACTTCACAGAGGGGAGGAGGAACGTCAAAGTGGGAAAAAAGTCGAGAGGGAGGGGGCAGAAGAGTGCTTCAAAGACGAATGCAGAAAAAAAGGTGAGGTGATACTGTGGAAGGGGTCGAATATGGCATACAGTGGGGTGATAGTAGTTTGGAGTCACAAGTCAACTGCCGATAAATAGACTTTTTGCCGTATGCATATACGTTGCCCTGGGTGCACCACGTGGAGGTAAGTCTATCACACACCCCATGATACCTATCATAACGCCTGCCATTTGAAAACACACCGCTCCAAAGCAGACACAATGCTAACGAAGCCGCAGAAATCAGGTCAAAGTTAAGTACAGTTAGAGAGATAATTAACGAAAATAGAAAAGATGTCGTAATTAGAATTTGGTGTTTTAGGAATCAGGTCTCAAAATTCTCACTGATTGCCTAGTTCCTTGCCTTGAACTCTCAAGATTACGACTCCACGAATCGTTCTTTGAATCTGTGTTCTAAGCAGAGTCCACGAAATCCAGTGGACAGAGGCTGATAAACTTCTAGAGATGGTCTGTTTTAAAATTTCAAATAAATTTGTGCAAGGGTTGCTTAAACAGGGTTAGTAGTAAATAACAAAATTTTGACAAAAATATTCTCCCACGGATAGGCAAAGCAGATGGATGAATTACATTAGGATCGACAAACATTTATTTATATCAAATGACAGGCGTTTGATGGCTATTCTTTAACTATTCCTTACACTCGTCTTCTTTTTTTGGAATTCGTAACAAATTTAAATAATATTTGTGCGGTGTACCTGTTTCTCTATCTTATTTTCAAAAAATTAAGCACTACCAGTTTTGCAGTGTCATTGCAGAATTAAACATTACCAATCCGTATTTACGCAGTTCAGACAAAAGTAAATTCATTTAACCGGAAGGGTGACATGAGGGTGTAACTATTGAGAAGCATTCAACTTTTTAATAATTAATAAATATGCTTAACTAATATGCTAATGAGTAGAAAGGCTTCATTTTAGTGCATTTTGAACGCCCTTATCTTGAAATATTTAAAATAAAAAAATAATTTGTATGAATTTCGATAAATCTTGTCTTATTTGAAGATTGCATCATAAAAAACTCACCGTTAGAAGTTGTAGCGTTTCCGCCTTAGTTTTGCAAAGAAGTGGATATTTTGAGAACCAGGATTGCTCTGCAATTTGCATGAATGATGGTCGAAAAAGTATTCTGAAGTCTCCTGAGCGCATATAATAATCGATTTCTTGCGAAAGATATCGAATTAATTTTGGAAATTAATTTGTAAATAATTAATATGATTCCTGTTTTACATTACTACAGACTGAGCCATACTCTTCTCCTCACTTTGCTTTTTAAAATCCTTTTACGACTAGGCGATAACTGATTTATTATCTTTAAAAGTTAAATTCAAACAATAGCTTGTGCATATTAAAATGTTTTCTTAATCCCAGATATTGCCAGTTTATTTAAACAAAATAACTGTCATCCATTTTGCACGCTCTTTGTTCGTTATGGTGTAAGATGCTTTCATCTATGAATTAATTTATCAACGTGTCAGTGCTTTACTTCCTGTTATTTTCTGCTCTTATTTCAGAAGTTCGTGATTTCTACGAGAGCACCCTTCTCTCGCCAACCATATCACTGAAGGAGAAGGCGGAGATGGCTTTGCATATTGCAGGTCGGTGGGAGCAAATCGATCAGTCGTCTTCCGCTCTTTCCACATATACGACTGTTCATTCAGAGCTCAACACCAGTGAACTTTCTAACGCCGTGCGCTCCGTAGGTTACAATTCCCTCTTACTTATAACAATCTCATAATTTTGATAGATTTGTGTAACCAAAGAGGGCAAGTAGAGAGAATACGTTATGTAAGAATAAATGTCTAAGGAAGATATGCACCCCCCCATATTTACAAAAGAACCAGCTTGAAGTATAGTAACAAGTAATTTGACCCTTTATATATAGTAAAATATCGCTGATCAAATAGGGCGATTAGTCGATGAAAAATGTGATATTCAAGGAAAAATCGATTAAATGAATTTCGTTCACTAGAAAACTGGTTTATGTTTCTCACCGCACCACAATTAAATTTCTCCATAAGCTACAAAATTAGACAATTTTTTTCATCGGGTTTTTTATTCTAAATAAATGTAGATCAGGCGTGTGTGGAAACGCAGTTTCCGCTTTTTAAAACAATGATACAACTACAAACACAATTGAATAGACAGAGAATTATGAAGCAGGTATTATTTAAAGCTTAAAAAATTCTGTTCTCATTGAAATTAGTTCACCATCAATTATTTCCTTTGTAAGATTTCTTTTATGGTAAAACAACTGATAGAATTATCACCATAAGATAGTTATATAATTCTTCACTTACAATTATTTATACTTTCTATATGCACGAGAGTGATCCTTCAATACTTGTAGAAGCTACAAAACTTACGAGGTAAAAATATTGATTAGATTTTTACAGGGCAATCGAAAATGAGCTTCGTTACAAATTTCAACTTTCATACCATCTAAGGTGGGGGGGGGGGTTGGGTG